TCACCGTCCTCCAGATAGTTCGTCTGTTTGGACTCTGCTGTAACTGTTGCGTCAGCCCGTCTTGTGGAGGGTCTCCCCGTCTTCGTTGCCAACGATGATCTCCTTTTTTCTAGCAATTGGTCTTTCCTGATAACATGTCCAAAATAAGTAAGCTGTCACTGCCCTCACTTCCAAGGAAATTCTGGTTCTTGTGTATCTTCGAAGAATGGTCTGTTCATTCTTCTATCACTGTTGTCCAACACCGCAATTCAGATTCTTCCATTCTTCCTCAGTCTGCTGGTTTTTGTTGTCCAGCTTTCCCATTCGTAAGTTGTGGTGGTGTGTCATTGAGTCAGAAATGACTCAGAGATGACCTTCAGGTATGTGTTTTGTTTTGTTTTGTTTTGTTTTGTTTGATTGAGGAAAGTGTTCTTTTTTAAAGTGCACAGTGGGTCGGGCCAGTTTATGCATCTTCTCCAGCAGCTGGGCTATCTCCACCTTTGGTGTTTCTGGTGTAAATTACTTGAGCTCTGTGTTTTGAAACCAGCTTAGTAAGGCCTTTACTTAGCAGCTCCTGAAGGGCTGCCCTGGCCAGGGAACCCTGAATCTTGTCTCCCAGAGATAATAGCTCGAGTTATAGCTTATAGTTGGGAACTTCTTTACAAACTTGGTCGTATGTGGCTTTGTCAAACAAGACCAGGCTGTTGAGCTTGTCCTGAACTTTGCCTTTGGACTGCTTCTTCTTATTGGCTCTGGCCCCGGATTTGTTCCCTGGGGCTTTGTCCTTCTTGGCCGACTTTCCAGCATCTGTCTTCTTCTTGTCGTCCTTGGGCGGCATCGTGAAGCTCGGAGAGGTGCAGCCTTGTGAAGGTGTCACACAAAAAGGCACAGGTGGGTTTTTAGAGGCAGTAAATCACACTGGAGGGGATTGTCCATTGTTCTCCCACAGAGCAGCTGGTGGATTCGAACCATGTGCCTTTGGGTTGGCAGCACAACTCCTTACCACTGAGCCACCAGATGACTGAAAAGATTGTGGTTTGGGTTAAACACACCTTAGTCCTCAAAGTGGCATCTTTGCCAGTTAGAACTTTAAAGATTTGCCCAGCACAAATTTGTCTTCAGGAGATGGACCTAAAGCCCGGCCTCTGACAGAGCCTGCCCACGGAGTTGCTCCCGAGACACTGGTTCACCTTCCCCCTAAGTGCCTGGGAACAGACCGAGGTGTCTAGACCAGTGTTCCAAGGTTGGGAACACTCAGACATTGCAGGCAAGATTCCTTCCACATATCCCCAAGAAAGGGTCTGTAGCCGTCTTCCAAGCTTTCATCCATAAAGTTCCTGATGTGTCGAAAGCAGCACATTTTCTCTGTTGACCTTGTACCCTGCCACTGTGATGAATTCCTTTATGAGTTCTGATAGTTTTTATATGGACTCCTGGAGGATTTTTATGTATAAATCTGTATCATCTGCAAAAAAAAGCGCAGTTTTACTTCTTCCTTCCCAACTTGGATGCTTTAGATCTATCTATTTATTTATTTATTCTAGCCTAATAGGTCTGGCTTGGATTTCCAGACAATATTGAATAGCAGGGCAGGGAGTGGGCGTCCCTGTCTAGTTCCCGATCTAAATGAGATGGCGCTCGACCTTTCTTTATTGAGTATGTTGTTAGCGATGGATTATTCGTAAATGTCTTTTGTTCTACTCAATGGTTTCCATTTTAGTCCTCTCCTGTTGAATGTTGTTCTTCAGTCTCTTGAAGAGCTCCATCATCCCAAAACCGGTTGGAATCATTGCCGGGAAGTTTCCATTCCTGCCCCTTCCCCACACCCCTTTTGTTTTCAGAGGGTGTGTAAGCAATGTCATCATTTCCACAGTTACTTCCTCATTCACATGGGGGAACTTACCTTCACTGCTAACTAGACCGTGTCTCCATGCAGAATTTATCAGCTGTACAGCTGTGCCCTCCTCGCCAGCGGCAGGCACAGGCACAGCTCGCTGTGTCTTGGAACATGCAAACGGTAATGAAGGTTAGCTATGATTCTCTCACAGATTTATAGAGAGAAAAACCAGGGGAAACGTCATTCCTGTTTTGGACATATGTATGAGTCTCCTGTGGCTGCTGTAACAAAGGACCCCAAATTGGGGAGCTTTAAAAGGCAGAAATGTATTGTCACACAGTCTGAATCCGGGGGTCATAGGGCCATGCTCCCTGTGAAGGACCTCTGGTAAACCCAGGTGTTCTGTGACTTGTGGCTCCTGCATATCCTCCAGGGCCTCATGGCCATTTCCTCCTGTCTCTCTCTGTTTCTTTTCCCCCTTTATAAGAGCCTCACCCAGAATGGATTTGAGTCTGATCTGCTCTAATACAATCTTTTTTTTAATTTATTTTATTTTTATTATTTTGTGTGCATGTGTACCATCAAATCCGATCTGACTTATACAGGAGGAGATTGCCCCTCCTTCTCCAGTAGAGAATCTGGTGGATTTGAACCATGTACCTCTGGGATTGCAGTGCACCTTCTTGCCACTAGGCCACCAGAGCTCCCAAATATGATCTTTTTATAATTTAACCAAAGATGGCTCTAAAGACCTTATTTCCCAACAAGGTCAAGTTTATAAGAACCAGAGACTGGAACTTCAACCTGAGTGTTGGGGGACACACTCAATCCTTAATAACATGGTATATTTAAAGCCTGTTTGATTTATCTGGTGTTGTTTCTCACATGAGAACAAAAGGGTACCTTTGTGTTCTTGCTGCGTCTCTCAGTCTCTTGCCTCATTGGAAAATGAGCCATGTGTAGGGTAGGAGTGTAGGTATATAGGGGTCTGTGCACCAGGCTTTGCTCTGGCTACCTTTAATGCATTCCCTTATTGCCACCCCTGTGAGAGAGAGACCTATGAGCCCATTCTACAGATGAGAAAAGTGAGGCACGGGGCACCAGGGGAGGGGGAGGTTACATAACATGCCAAGGCTCACAGAGCCTGCAAGATCAAACGAGATTTAACCTGTGGCTTCAGAGCTTTGTCTGTAGCCACTGCCTGATTCCATTCACCTTCATGAAGGAGAAACCAGCCCCTGTTAGGTTCTTTTTTAGGGAAAAACGTCAGCATCTCTGTAGGGACCAGGAGGCTGCAGCTTGACTTGTGTCGGTTAGGCATTTTGTCCAAGAAACTGGACAATTTAGCCGTAACTTAAATTTTTATAACATGTTAGTATTTTTTCCAAGTTCTCTCTCTTCCAACTTTTAAAAGTTTAAATTGTAGTTTGACTTTTTTTTCAAACTGTATCTACACCAGCCCTCCCTCCACCCGCCCTGTGTTTGTTGTTAGCTACCCACGGAGTGTATTTCTGACCCCCAGTGACCCCCTGTGACAGAGCAGAACTTCCCTGCCGGCATTACAGGAGACCATCACTGAGTCTCTCTCCTACAGAGTCACTGGGTGAGTTTGAACAGCCAGCGTTTTGGTTAGCAGCCAAGCACGTAACCATTGCACCACCAGCGCTACTTTCTGCAGGAGAAACACCTGGTTATCTGCTTGTGCAAACATTACAACCAAAAACACCCTGTGGGGAAGACCTGCTCTGTCACATGGAGCCACTATGAACTGACTCCATGGCAGCCACTGACAACACTGCCCTAACTAGGACTTCTAGTAGAGTGTTCAAAAAGAAGTGATGTAACAGGGCTCTCCACACCCCTAACAGCCAGAAATCTAGCAGGGGTCCTGTAATCCAGGAAACCGAGGCAGGAGAGTGATGAATGCTCTTCGTCTCAGTCAGTCCGCACCTTTCTCTGTCCACACTCAGTCCCCTGGGAGTGGATGTGGGGCTGGCATCAGAGCCTGACACACCCTTGGCTGATCGTCTCCAACCCCGGCCTCCCTGATTACAAGGCACCTGCTCGATTGCCCACATTTAGGGGTGGTGTAAGCAAACCAATTAATAAGAAAAAAAAATGTAAAATAGAATGGATATGAATGATTGTATGAAACACAGTATAAATGCAAGATTGTATAAAACACAATGCATATGAATGAAAAATGTCAAGGAATTATTGTATGGAAATCAATACCAGAGACCATGTAGAAGTAAATTGAGGCTTAACTCTCCAGCCTCTCTTGTTCTCTGACTCTCCACCTCCTAGAAGAATGCCACCCCAGGGTTGGACCGCTGAGCAGGACACTGGATCAGAAACACCTGAGGGCAGGGAGAGGTCGAGACAGATTGGCAGGGCCCTTCAGAGGGAGGGACTTCACCAGCCACGGTGGCCTCCCATGGTGAAGAAAGGAGATCGAGAGCCCCTAGCATAGCCCAGGCATGTCTCAGTGAGTCGGCCTGTTAATTGGGATTCAGGTGTCAGGCATTTGGTGTACCTCACAGAGCACAGAGGGGCCGGGGGGAGGTGTCCATGGGCACAGGTTCACAATGAGACACAAGGGGTCTGGACAGCGTGACAGCAGCTCAGCTGTTGAGGATGTACCTTTTGGCCACTGGCCGATGCTCACTGGGCTTGATGGACCTCCACCTTCTGTTGCAAGTCACAACCTAAGTGGAGCATCCACCTCCATGCATACTGCACACCATGGCCATCCTCTCATCCCGCGGACATCAGAAAGGCAGAAAAATAGGCCTGCAGGCCACACCCCTTCTAGCCTTTTCACAGAGCCTGAGAGTAAAGAACATAAGATTTAAAAAAATGCAACACTTTAAATGAAAAGAACAAAGCTTCTTAGCAGGAGGAGGTTCACAAATTGCTCCATTGGTCCAAATTGACTGTTTTCACCCATTAAATGAGGCAGTGCTGTTTCCAGATGTTGTTGCTGTCTTTCCTTGGTCACGTGCTATGTCTGGGCTGGTGGGGGCAGGGAACTCGGCACTACCCGCTCCCCATCAAGGGCCTCTCTGGCCTCATTGACCAGGGGGGATGCACCTGGCCTTGGGAGTTATGGGGGAGCCAACACAGGGCCTGCCACCTCACCTCACTCTGCCTGCCAGAAACTCACATGGTGTCTGTTTTTCAGGAATCTTGGCAAGTCTGGCCTGCGGGTCTCCTGCCTGGGCCTCGGTGAGTGTGGGGCCACCCCTGGGACATCCACTCCTCGAGAAGGTGCAGCAGGAGGGCAGGAGGGGGCTACCCTCCGGGAGGTAGTGTGTCTGCAGCGTTCAGGGCTCGGGATTCAGGATGGATTGGTTGCCATGGCAGCCAGGAGGCAGAAGAAGGGAGGCCTATAAGAAGGAGGAGACAGATACAGTCACAGCAATGTGGTTACCAAAGCAGTGGAGGGATGAAGCAGTCAAAGACTGGGGGGCACGGGGGGCCATCGGTACACACTGACCCCTCTCAAAACCCAAGGGCCATCCTCTTCTCAGGCTTTCCGCACGCAGCAGGGTGGGCTTCACAGAAAAAATATTTTGTGAGAGGCAGTCGGCTCTGCCCTCCTTCCATGTTCACTGGAGGCAGGATCTGTCCTAGAGCTGCTGCACTCCGCCTGCATACATACCCAGCGCTACCCCACACACACTGTTCCCTCCCTTCCCAGACACGCAAGGACGTGATACACCAGCCACCCCACCAGCTCCCTTCTGAGTATCCCCAGACAACAGCCATGTCGTCACAGTCACATTGGGCCTCTGGGAAATCAATACCAGTTGCAGGACAGTAAGAATTGCCCCAAAGCCAGCCTGAGCAAACCAGAGAGGCAGGCAGTATAGGGCTATGTCCACCACTCCCATAGGTCCTGCCGTGCCACTGGGGTATATTTCAGCTCCGTGTGAAGAAGGTTCTCTAACTGCAGCCTCTGTGTCTCTCTCTTCCAGGAACATGGGTCACCTTCGGAGGCCAGATCACCGACGAGGTAAGAATGCAGGTCCCCAGCTTGGCACCAAGGAGGGCAAGCCTCTGAGCCTGACTGAGGGCTCCCTCGGCTGCCCCAGCCCTGTGGTGGGCCTGCCCAGGCCACATACATGGAACAGTCAGCCGCGTGAGTGAATGAGCCGGCGCACTGGGAACTGCCCGGGCTCCCTTTTATCTGCATCGCTCTGGTGCCCAGCCCTCCTGGGACAGCAGGAAGGTCAGATCCTGGCATTGGTCAATGAAGATGCCAAGCTCAGCGCTCCTTACCAGCGGCATACCCTGGGCTTCACCAATATCCAGGAACTCAGGTTTCTCATCTGCACGACACCTCCTTCAAAATTAGCTGTGGGAATTCACTGAGTGCGCATGTTTTCCAAATTCTAAAGCCTGGGGAAACGAGCTGCTCCCCCAAAGGAAGCACACTTGAATGTGAACTTCAATTCCATAAATATTTGGGTTTTTAAAAAAAAACACTTCAATTATTTTCAAGTCAATTCTGACTCCTAGAAATCCCACCTGTGTCAGCATATACCTGTGCTCTGTAGGGTTTTCAGTGGCTGGATTTTCAGAAACTGATCACCAGGTCTTTCTTCCGAGGTATGTCTGAGTAGATGTGAACCTTCAGCCTTTCCCTTAGCAGCCAAATGCAGTGACCATTTGCACCAGCCAGGGAACTGCAATATCTATCATTGGAAGAGATGGAGTAGACTTGAATTTTGCGCCGCCCCTGGCTGTGCCCATCATTAATCACAGATGTTGTACTCGGTGTGTTTGCTGGGATCTGACTATCATCATTAGCTAGAAAGGGAGACTTTGAGCCAGTGCCATCTCGGCCCTGCCAGCACCCTGTGTCTCTCTGAAGAGAAGGAGCCATCCTAGGCCAGCTGCCCTTCTGGAACGTGAATAAGAATGGCTTAGAAATGAGAGCAGTGCGTTTGCTCAGAGACCCCTAGACATCCTACTTAAGCAGCTGTTTGTGCGTTTGCCCTACCCGTGGCTGACAAGGTTGCATTTAAAAGTTCATCAGTGCGTTGATTCGAGACCTTGTTAGCTGTGATTGCTCAGTTAGTTTTCAAAGGAAGAGTTTGACTGCCATCAAAACTGAAATGCATTTCATTTGTGATGCTGTGATTAAGTGCCATCTTATTCTGAATGTATCTGTGTAGGGAAGAGCCCCCCTCCTCTGGCTTTGAGGCCACTGGGTAGGTGCCACATCTGGGTGAAGCCAGGAGTTCTTATGTGACAGCTCACCGGCAGCCCCAGGCCATGTTCTACCTCAGGCCGCCAGATCCATTCAAACGCTCAGAATATAAAGCCAGAATCTGGAGCCCACAGGTTCCCCCAAACGAATCAGGCTTCCCTGTTGGTGTAGTTAATAAAACAGCAGGTGGAAGAATTCTCTCGGGGCCCTAACTTCATCCCTCACAACATTTGCTACACAGCTGTGATGCTCTTACAGGAGACGTAGAAGAATGATCCTCATTTAACTGCCTGTTTAGGTGAATTTCCTACCAACAGTCCCGTCACAGCCCGAGAGGACTGATGTGTGACCTGACGGCAATGCTGGCTGGCCCTAGCCTCTGCCAGATCCCCCTCGGGGACCTGGGAGTATGTTGGGAGGCCATTTCCAGATGACACAAAGCTGGAAGATGAGCTGATTCAAGAGATGACCCTGTCAAGTCCTGAGAGATCCCCGCAGACGAAGATGATGGAGTGTGGGAGCAAGTCGGGATTTCAGTGTTAACTCCTCCATTCAGCGGCAAGACAAATCAATACCTCAAGTGTGTGGGCCGACCTCACTGAAAAGCAAGGATTTGATTCTCCCACTAACTGTCAGCTCAGTCCAAACCAGTACATGAGATGGCCTTGAGGAAGCGAGGACCACTGGGGCTGCCGGGGGTCCTGACCCAGAACATGCCAGGTACACAGCCGCTCTGGAATACCACATCTCTAGAAAGTGCATCTGGAGTGCTCCTCAGAGGCAAGGATGGTGAAGCTTCATCCCACACACTTTGGGCATGTTTCTAAGAGAGGCTGTTCCTTGGAGAAGGCCATCATGCTTGGAAAGCTGGAGGGATAGAGAAGGAGAGAAAGACCCTTAACAAGGTGAACTGACACAGTAACTGCAGCAATGGGTTCAAGTGTGTCAGAGATTGTGAGGATGACACAGGATAAGACAGGGTTCAGATCTATTGTTCGAAGCATCCCAAGAGGCATACTTGACTCAACGGCACTTAACAGCAACAACAGCTCAGCTGCTGACCCATGGAAAGTGCTTGGCCCGTCACAAAATCTAGGAAAAAGGGTCTTGATGTGTCTGGTATTGTATTGCATTTTTAAATTCTTTTTTTTTTTATTGTGGTGAAAATATACAAAGCAGAACCTCTGCCAGTGCAACCATTTCTGCATGTATAATTCAGCAACATTGATTGCATTCTTCCCATCGGGCAGCTATTATCATTCTGCTTTTCCAAATTGCTCCATCACCATTAACCTCAGCCCCACTCTGCCACCATGGAGTCAGTTCTGACCCCTGGTGGTGTTCTGTGGAGTTTCTGAGGCTGTCCATTTTTCTCCCGCAAAGCAGTTGGTAAGTTTGAACTGTCCACCTTTAGCTTCAGTCCAACATGCCCGTCAGACCAGCAGGGCTCCTCAGTCTAAGCTCAGAATCAGGCTTTATCAGGAAGTAGCTAAGAGAATAC